CTTTGGGCGGGGAGGGGGGATTTATATTTATTTTTTTTAAACAAATTGTTAGTTATTGCTTAAAACAAGAACAAATATCTGCTAAAGGGGTAAGAAAAGTAATCTTAATTCAAAGGGCAAACATTATTTTTCTTGTCCCATTGGCAGATATTTTTTCTTTAAGCAAAAACTCAATGTACTTAATATTTTATGCTTCTCAAGTGAACGTATCTTGAATTAAGATATTTGTAATGGAAAACGACAAAAATACAAAGAATAATTTGAGGTGAACTTGTGTATTGTAGAACACATTTATTTAGCTTAATTGTATTAAACTCGGCTAAAAATAACACTTTCGTTTTTTTGAGCTTGTTGGTTCATTTACGTACATAGAAATGACAAAAGGAAATCACTTGGGATAAACTGGATGCTTCAGAATCTGATTGTGTTCTATAAATAATCAGTGTTATGTATTCCTAAAGTTATCATTTTATAATATTTTTAATTGGTAAACGTTGTTTCTCATGTAAAGAGTTTCATTCTCTTTCCATCCTCTTAAAGCGATGGATAATTTGACAGTTTGTGAACAGAATGAATCATTGAGCCTTATTGAATCAGTGCGGTCCGTTCAACTAATGCAGATGTTCAATCCTTTAGATATAAGCAGAGATGGGCAGTATTTTAATTAAATGCATTTAAAATGCATATTTAATTACTTAGACAAAATCAAATGTAATTTGTAATTAAATACTTTGAGAGACAGTATTTGAAATACTTAATCCAGTAGGTCATTTTATTCTCAGATAATGCATCTTTCTTCACCTGTGTTATTAGTACTGCCAGCTATAGCCTATCACAGTTTTTGGCTGATGCAAGTGAATCATATGAAATCCTGTTGGATCCAAAGGTGGAGTCTTAAAGGGATAGTTCACCCAAAAATAAATTGTCAAAAAAAAAATCCAAAAGATCTTTTGTGTTCGGAAGAGGATTGAAGGTCTTACGGGTGTGAAACGACATGAGGTTGTGTAATTCATGACAGACGCAGCCGCTGACTTACATTTTATGAATGACAAAGGACCACGGTTTCAGCTACTGAAGAAAAAAGTCACCTACATTTTGGATAGCCTGCAAAAAAAAAAAATTTTTTTTTTTTTTTTTTTTTTTTTGGTGAACTATCCCTTTAATTCGTCCATGGTTCCATCTTCCAACTGGGGGGGGGAACAATGAAAGAAGCTGTTTTGGTGCTCTGTGCAAACTGGCGAAGTATGTACTAAAATATATACTATCAGATAGTGCTCACTGAATGTTATTACAGGACGGAAGAAAAAGCTGCTCTAGAACTTTGTTCAGGTATTTGTCATTTGTAACAAAATACTCTTTTGATATATTTGAGTCCATCTCTGGATATAAGGACGAGTCTTTAAAAGAAGATGCCTGACGTTTGTAAGAAGTGTGTGTGTGTGACAGATCTCAGTTCTCTGCCTTGTCCAGAGATCTCTCTCAGGTCCTGTGTGTTTTGCAGTGAGTCTTGGGTTTATGGTCCATAAAATGCACATTTTTCTACTATTGAACACAAACACATCTTTTAAAAAACACATGGAAGTTGTCCATATGATCTGTGCACTTTATGCATAAGTCATATAATAGTTTGTGTGAGCAACTGACCCAAATTAAGTCTTTATTCATTGATAAGCATCATATTTTCTGAATGAAATTCAAGTTTCCTACTAATTTTGGGTTTCGCTCTTTCACGTCACACTTTCTCAAAATATGATGCATTTTTTGCGGTGAGGAAGTCTTGTGTTCTCCCTTAATCAGCAGAAAAACACCACATACACATGATTCCTGTCTGAATCGGAGCCAGATTACAACTATTTGATCAGTTCTCAGCCCATGACATTATTTGATGCCTAATCCTGATTTCATGCTCAGAATTATGATCCAGCGACAGAAAAATGCAAACGTAAGCAGAAGTTTTCTGCTTTTACTGCATACAACCAGTCACAGAAAAGCATAGATTTTGTGAACAGGCTTATTTATATTAAACTCTTTGGAGTATTTGAGCATTTTTCCACTCCTTTGCAAATTGTAAGTTACGTAATGCATTTTGAATACTATAAAGACTACTTCAAAACTGACTTTTGACTGATTTTATTCTTTTGATAAGTGCAGAAAAGCTGGTACATTATAATCAGAAAATCTTCATTCTTATTTTGTAAACTTTATAAATTAAGTTCTTTGACATTAAATGGTGTATTTAAACACTTTTCCACTTCTTTGCAGGTTGTAAAGTAAATAATAAATTGAATAGATTGATTTTTTTTTTTGCCTTTTGTTATTTTTTACAAGTGCATTAAAGCTTATATATCTTATGTTTTATTTTTTAGCATAATTTATCTTTTTAGGAACAACCTTAAACATCCATATACTGTATATTTGTTCTTACATGCGTTGTGGGTCAACATAGTTCACTAAACATGAACAATTAACAAACCATATACAAAAGGCATCCACTTAGGAAAACATAAACAAACACAGTGATGTCATCGTAATAAATTAATTAATACTTTTATCCAACCAAGAGGATTGGCGTCTGTTGCAATCGGAGAGTATTTCTTCCATGACATATATTTCTCTAATTAAAGACAACCAATTGTTATAGGTTGGTGGCTCTTCTTTGAGCCAGTTTATGGTAACAGCTTTTTTTTTTTTGCAGCTAAAAAAAAGTATTTGGAGTAAATATTTTCCCTCCTTAGATTCCACATCTTTTACATTGGTTCCAAGAATAGTCATTGATTTTTATTATTATTATTCATATTTTGAACTCCGCATCATCTAATTGGGTCATATTAGCCCTTTTTTTGCAAATCAGGAGAAATAATTTTTCAAGAAGCAGGGTTGTGTTATTTTATGAAATCTTGAAAATGTCATGTTGATGCACTGCAGCAGGTTTGAATGTTTCCTGGTTGTGTCACAAACAAAAGTCACACTAATTTGAACAAGTGGAATGAAGGTCTGAGAGCTGCAGCTTTTACTGTCATACTTTTATGGTGTTGTTTGACAGTTGTATGGAAAAGAGTTGAAGATTATTCAGTTTTCAGTGTAAATTCTCCTTTAGTGTTTGATGAAAGCCTCATTACTGTAGTGGTGGAGCTGCACGTCTCCTGGCTAAAGTTAGTCCGATCCCCCTCTCGCCCCTCTCTTGTGGAGATCTGAGACCCTGTGCGCCCTAATTAATGTACAGCTCCTGTGTGTAGGCGTACAAATGGCCCTGGCGATGAGCGGGAGCCAAGATTCGCCCACTGACGAACATCCAGGGCCCTTCAGTCAGGTTCGGTTCAGCGCACAAACTCAATCATTCTGCGGCGGGAGCGGCTTGTGTCTGTGGACACAAATAAAAGCAAACGTGCCGTGCTGCGAGATGCTCGGGGTTTGAGCCGGTTACCGTGGTGACAGACCCAGTTTTACAGCCGAATGAAAATAAACAGGAACTGATTGAAAGGCTAAGAAATGTTGCCCATGTTACATATTCGTTATGAAGCGGTGAGACACTCACTGTTAGAGTTGTGCACAGTTGTGCTGCTGAATATTTTCGTGGATATATTTTATTTTTTTCCAGGATTCACAGATGAATAGAAAGTTCAAAAGAACAGCATTGATTTGAAATAGAAATCTTTTGTAACATTATAAATGTCTTTACTGTCACTTTTGATCAGCCTAATGCGTCATTGATGAATAAAAGTATTAATTTTTTACTGACCCCAAACGATTGAATGGTAGTGTATCACGGTTTCCGCAAAAATATTGTTCAGCACAACTGTTTTCAACATTGATAATAATCAGAAATGTTTCTTGAGCAGCAGATCAGCATATTATTATGATTTCTGAAGATCATGTGACACTGAAGACTGGAGTAATGATGCTGAAAATACAGCTGCGCATCACAGAAATAAATTACAGTTTAACAGATATTCACATAGAAAACATCTGTCTTAAACCGTAATAATATTTCACATTTTACTGTATTTTTGATCAAATAAATGCAGTCTTGGCGAGCAGAAGAGACTTCTTTACATTAAAAAAAATCTTAATTATTCCAGACATTTGATTGATGACAGAAGTAAAGCTATAGTTGGGAGCTCAGTTGCATTTTCTTACAAGTTTTTGGATACAAACGGTAGCTTTTCTTTTGCTTTTAATACAAAGATGCACTTCAGCTTTATTTCTTGTTGTATAAAGTTTCAAAAACCTATAAAGTAGTTTTATTATATTTAAAGTTGTGTTTTTATGTGTTTTTATTTTATTTAAAGTTTTATTAAAAAGCAGTTTGAGTTGAACTTGTATGAAATGTGCTATATAAATAAAGTTATTATTATTATTATTAATTACCATTTTCTTTTAAACAGGTTTTTACCATTCTGGGCAATTCCCATTCCAGAGGTAAGATTATTTTCCATGTAAAGTTTGATACCCCTAAGATAAATGAAATTTGTCAATTGATGGACCTCACAGTTATTGAATCTAAATGATTTTTTTAGCTGAATAATGACTGTTTACTATTGTCTTTTTAGAGCTGCTTTACAGTAAAATTGAATTATTTTTGCATCATTGAATCATAATTTTCTTGTTTATCACTGTAAAGCTGCTTTGAAATTGTATAAAGCAGGGGTCGGGAAACTTTTTTGAGCAAAGAGCCTTTTTCTTTTTCTTTTCCATCCCTCACACTGAGTCTAAACCAGGTGCTGCAGCAGCACAACGGATCAGCAGACACGCCAAGACCTTCACATGATCGTGTTTAGCATACACAACCCATGAAGAACTGGGCACAGACAATTTTTATTTATTTTATCAATAGAATAATCTCGCAGCTGAAAAGCTGCATGACATTTCTCAGTAACGTTACTGTTCTTGAAGCAGATAAACTTAAAGATGCGCTATTAGTAAAGATACGCTGCTGCCACGAGTCAATATTCCTGTCAGAAAAACGGTCTTGAGTGAAGAACTAGTCGATCTTTAAAGGGGTCATATGATGCGATATCAATTTTTCCTTTCTCTTTGGAGTGTTACAAGCTCTTGGTGCATAAAGAAGATCTGTAAAGTTGCAAAGACTAAAGTCTCAAATCCAAAGAGATATTCTTTATAAAAGTTAAGAGTCAGCCACACCTACCTAAAATGCCTCGTTCTAACACGCCCCCACATATCTACCTCACTATGTGGGAAGATTTGCATAACACCGCCCAAGTGTTCACGCAATGAAAGAAGGCGTAACTTTTATTCTCGCTGTAGTATTGTTGACGCTGCCGCCATGTCGTGAAGGCGCTGTGTGTTTCGTTGAGAAAGCGAAACTACTTTGTTTGGCCTTCCAAAAGAGGACGCGACTAGAAATCAGTGGTTAATTTGTATTTACAACACGGTTCCAGAACAGTTCAACCTAAATACTCAGATGTGCGCAACACATTTTACAGAGGATGAGGACTGTTTCCTGTGAGAGTAGCCTACAATGCCGGTGTTCTGACAAATAATGCTGACTCACAGACTGCAAGTATGTTTTCATATTTAAAGGATTTGCCACTGACGATTCAAACGCGAGTTTTGAGCAGTGTAGAGTAGGGCATGGAGCTCGAGCTTGGGCGGAGCCGGCAGGGCATGGAGCTCGAGCTTGGGCGGAGCCGGCAGGGCATGGAGCTCAAGCTTGGGCGGAGCCGGCAGGGCATGAAGCTCGAGCTTGGGCGGAGCCGGCAGGGTATGAAGCTCGAGCTTGGGCGGAGCCGGCAGGGCATGGAGCTTGAGCTTGGGCGGAGCCGGCAGGGCATGGAGCTTGAGCTTGGGCGGAGCCGGCAGGGCATGGAGCTTGAGCGGAGCCGGCAGGGCATGGAGCTTGAGCGGAGCCGGCAGGGCATGGAGCTTGAGCTTGGGCGGAGCCGGCAGGGCATGGAGCTTGAGCTTGGGCGGAGCCGGCAGGGCATGGAGCTTGAGCTTGGGCGGAGCCGGCAGGGCATGGAGCTTGGGCGGAGCCGGCAGGGCATGGAGCTAGGGCGGAGCCGGCAGGGCAAGTACGTTTTCATATTTAAAGGATTTGCCACTGATGATTCAAACGCAAGTTTTG